GCTAATACTATCTTGTGTTTTATTCACTCAATACTTACCTTCATGTAATCTACTGTTGTTGTCACGTCTGTTTTGTAGTTAATTACCCTCTAGAAACAGAGAATGTCCTAATGGTAAAAATAGTATGCTTAATAGCCAATAGGACCATAGCACAAAAACTAGACGTGATTGAGGAAAACTAATATTATTTTCGAATACAGCGTGGTCAATTCCTATGAAAACCGTCTAAAAATTCAAACATATTTTTTTCAAAAGAAACGCAGTGTAATTAATGTGAAAATGGTCATTGCGAGTGGCGCAGGGCATCGAGAAGTACCGCGCGCAGCGCATCGCGCACGGCTACGAGGTGCTGAAGCTGCCGCAGCTGTACATCAAGTGCCTGGAGCGCGGCGTGCACTTCGAGTGCTGCCCCTGGATGTCGCTGCTCACCTGCTCCGTGGACGGCGCCAAGAAGCACCCGGTGGCGCAGTGAGTCTACTTAGGCCAGCGGTCCCGTATGCGTAGAGCGCGTTCTCGTCGCTGGAGGTAACGGTGGATGGCGAAATTCGGCACCAAGCTACCCGTCGGCTTGCGAGGTTCTCCCCAGCCGGGTGTCTCCCACCAGCAGGGCATATCCCCAGCCAGGACACGTTCTAAGCTCCCAACCGGTCTCCCGGCATGTGTGGTAGTGTTGTGCATGTAAGGGTTGAGGATACGACAAGGAAGTGTTAGGAAAGATCGCGCATTGTGCGTGGCCCGTTTGGTAGGGTACTGCTCCGGCATTCGTCTGGTGTAGATCGGAGTAACAACTGAATTCGGCTTAGCTATGTTGCCAGTGTAGAAAATTCTGTCACCGTCGCACAGTCAGGCCAGAAAAAGGAAAAGTCGGCAAAAATTATTTTTGAGGTTTTCGAAATATTGGGGAATAAAAACACACTTAATATTTCAATAAAGAATTATTTAATTGCTATATATTCAAACATTTAATTATATAACCTCAGAAGTAGAACTTTTATCATGTGACTTTCTTAAAGAAGTGAATTTGTACTTTAAAGATTTTAACATTGGTGTAACGTTTAGGTCAAATACCTTTGTGGTAATTTTTCTCTTTACTCTTTTCTAATATTACGAGTTTGTTTCCAATAATGTGAGAAAGTATGTGTAGTATAGTTTCATTTCATTTGAGGCTTTTAAAATTAAATTTGAGGAGAATGATAATGAAAATACTTACATCTGCTGCTTCCGTGTTTGAAGTACATTTCTGCTTATATTGGTATTGATGTGATCCCTCAAATTCCCATTAATAAGTAAACAAACACAACTTTCCTGAATTTTCTAAAACATTATTTGTCAAAACATTTCTCTAAGCTTGCAAAATATGCGCAATTGAGTGGATTAAAATTGGTTGTAATTTTACATCAGCAAATATACCTGTAACAATAATTGCTTCCGTTCTAGGAAATTTTTTCTTCCAGTTTGCACTATTTCTTCCGTTTTTGTTTTTTTTCAGTGTATTTAATAACATCATATCTAACACTTCTTGTTAATAAAGCGCTCTAGTATCAAATTATTAAGGTAGAATTAAGAAAATGAATATTATAGGTAGAAAGACTAACAAAACTAGGTGTGCAATTTTACAATGTACCTTCACGCAAAATGGGGCAATCATGGACAAAACGTTGCTTAATGTTTTGAAAACTAGATAAATATGCTTCAGTTAATATCATAGCCCGGAAGGAAACTAAAAAGACAAAAAAATTAAAAATATAATTTCGTTGTGATACTTCGTTTCTAGTTGGAATTACTAAATTATTATTTAAGGAATATATTTTTTACATACACATTTTTAAAGTACGTATCTCACGATTCTGGTGATCGAGAGTGCAAAACTATTTACATCGAAGAATTCACCCTGCTTCTTAGTCTTCTTCTTATAACACGTTTGTGCCCCCTCCGAATTGGCGGCCTCGCCAGGCCTCTGTGGTGTAATCTGCATGCGTGTCTCGAAGAGTCGTGACTCTTCATGCGAGGTTGTAGGAGGAAAAGAAGCCTTTTGAGCAGTGGGTTGTTGTGTATGTGTGTGTGTGTGTGGGGTGCTGTGGTTTGTTGTCAGTTAACCACTTACCTCAATAGCTTATTAAATTTGAAGGAGCATCATGTTTGTAATCTAACGTGAACGCTTTGATTTATCTGAAATAGCAATGCATTATATTCTAATGTCAGCAGCTATCGTATAGGGAGATTCAGAAAAAGTAGAATTTAGTTAAGAAATCTTATTGGAACTGTGAATTATTGCAAAACGTATAGTGATTGAAAATTAATTAATTGTAATTTAATCTACGACAATGAACTGAGAGTCAGGTGGCTGCTGTGACATTACTTGATTGAAACTGGTGCCTTATGCAAGTTGACAAACACCGCAGGTGTTATTAAATTAAGAGTGAGTTTAATACATTATGACTTGACACATGTTACAATATACACTAAGGGCACATTAAAAATATAATTGACGTGACATTGTTTAATCACATTGGTGAAGTACATTAAACACACAGTGCATCTTGATATGCAGAAAATACTGAAACAAGAATACATGGATGTAGGAGTCTGTGCCGGAGTGCCATTCCCATAGAGGAGAGGTACAACTCTCGTCTATGGCCATTCCATGCGCATGCAGATAGCAGAGGTGAACAGCTGATGAGCGGGCTGCGTTCCAGCTGCCCGGGGTGACCTTTCAGGCGACGACCACGGGAGGCAGGTCGACCGCCCTTGGCCACGAGACAGCGCGGAGTTTCACATTCTGACCATTTAGTGCAGAGTTCATCACGGGCTCGTGAAGTTCGTTTCTCGAAGAGTCGTGACTCCTCATGCGAGGTTGTAGGAGGAAAAGAAGCCTTTTGAACCGTGGGCTGTTGTGTGTGTGTATGTGTATGTGTGGGTGTGGGTGTGGGTGGAGGTCTGTGGTTTGTGGTCAGTTAATCACTTACCTCAATAGCTAATTAACTGTAGTGAGCGTTGTTTGTTATTAAGTCACTGTGCACAACTTGATTGTCCCCGGATGGCCGAGATCGCTAAGACAGTAGTGCCGTAGCGATCTCGGACCGAAGGATCAGGGGTTCGAGTCCTCGGGCATAGTTGTATTGTGTTCGCCCTTTCACACCCCTATCATCACCATATCGTGTCATCCTCACAGTTACCATACCGTTACACACTAATGGTTGCTAATGACCTAGTAGTTAATGCGACCTTCAATAAAAAAAAAACTTGATTGTTAGGAAAGCAATTGCAACGTCCATTAGTTCAATTGTTGCCCGATACTGCTTTCCATGCGCTCATTGAGTTCCAATAATGATCATAACTGCGTTCAACACTATGGCACGAACACAGTACAATACATAAGCTCGCGTGGTTGTATTGACTGCGCGTCGCGTCGCACTATCGCGTGATGCTATCGCCACACATATAAGCCATGTTAAAGAAATACAGGTTGCATTATTTCTCCCGTTTTTTTTTTCTTTTCAGTGTATTTAATAACATCATACCTAACCCTTCTTAGGTTAGAGTTGAATTATAAAGTTGATTTACTGTGGTTTCGCTATGATCAAATATTATATCATTGAGTTCGAATAATGATCACGACTGCATCCAACACTATGGTAATGAGAAAATATTATACTTCACATAAGAAAATGTACCGTTCACACGCGTATTATGCGTTATTGCGGTAATTTAGCACAATTTCCAAGTTAGGCGCGAGCAGGGTGAACGTGAATCCGCCTGCTGCGAGGATCACTGCTCGACTGGCGTCAGTTCATTACCGTAGCTTGGGGAGAGTGTTGCCAGATGTGTTTAGAGAGATTCCGCCATGTTCGTTTCAGTTTCCTCCGAAAATCCGCTGAATTGGTTTTAAATTTCCCGCCTAAATCCGCTAAATGTAAAATAAATTATTTTTTCCATATTTAAATGTATTAATTTATTATATTAAAACAAAAATATGATTGCGAAATATAGTGGCTTTATTGAACCTGTAATTCAATTTTTAGATAGTATAGAATACATTACTTGGGTGAAAGTTTGCAAAATAATAACAATTGATTTCAGGTAGTATATAATTCATTGTATAAGTATTATATTATTTATTCTTGCTAGTAACATGGTGCTAGAAATTTTCAAAATATACATCTGTGCAAGACAACTTATTAATAGAGGTTAACGAAATCTGATGCGTTACTAATTTTACTGCTTTACTAACTTTATTAATTCCCGACGTTTATTCCGCTGTCCGCGAAACGCATCTTTTTTCCGCCGTACGAGTTCAAAATCCGTTGAAAACGGCGGGAATTCCGCTGATATGGCAACACTGCTTGGGGAAGCCTGCATTTGTCGCTTGCGGGCGACGACAACCAATGAGCGTTGAGCTTCGATTGTTGTAATTTGAAGGCATTGAGTTATACTGAATTATAATGAAAGAAGAAATGCATGAGAACATGACAAATTAAAAGTTGAGAATGTTAGTGAAGTTTTCAAATTTAATACGAAGCTGCTCGTATCTCGTATTAATTCTGCGAATCGCGACGCGTATTGCACCATTGGTTGCGTAGGCCAGCTTCGCGGGAATTTCCGACGCTGAGGCGAATTGATTATTGAGGCATTATGAATTGTACAAAGCAGGACTACTGTTGCGTAACAAGACGTGCATGTCGAGATATATAAAATTATAATCGAGTATTTAGAAAGCTTGCTCCAACAGTTGATTTCTGGGATTTTACTTGTTGATAGGAGTCCTCTTCCTCGTTCAGGGACGGGAATCGGAAACTTGGGGGATTGGAAAGATTTTTTAAAATGGAGAATCTGTTGTTTTGTTGAGGGTAGTTGGTGTTAATAGTAGTTGTCAGCATCCCAAACAGTTCATTCATTAACAGTTCCCCATCCATGAACACAAGATGGCGGGTTCAGATCGCAGGCAATTTTTTTCTTGTGAACTGTGTATGCATTTCATTCCCAACGTTTCCATATTTCAGGTTCGCCGAAGATGGAGCAAACTTTAGTTTGAGTACTAGCTATCCGACAATAACTGGTCTCACGCTGCAAGAGGAATATGACTTGGTTACGTCTTGGGGTCTTACAGAAGCTCACTTGGTACGCTCGGTAAGTAAAGGTACTCGATTGATGTTTTATGGCTTGGGGAGTGTGTTGAGCGAAATACTATATAAATAAAAGTATCGGAAGACATTTTAAAAATTGCTGGCGTTAAAAATATAATTAAATCGTATAATTTGATTCGTCAAGATGTAGAAATATTATTATGTATTTGAAAATATTTGTTCCATGTCATGATTTAGTGCGTGAGAAAAATTAATTGAAAATGTTACGCACCAAACGCATAGGTTTCCCTCCCCAGTAATTTAGTATGAAACGTTTGGCTAACTGCAAAAAATGGAACTAGAAACAGGATATAAAAAATCATTTAATTTTTTACCTGTTTCGTAAAGTGAACTTTCATAAGGATTCTACGCGCAATGCCAATAATCACGAATATACGAGCTTACTTTAGCAACGCGAGTTAACTTCAGCAACGCAAATTGAGACTGCGTTGTGTTTCTTTCTCCAAAAGCTCTACGATACAATAATTTAGCATCACCACGTATTTTACCGGCTATTAGGTAGCATCACGTATTTTACTAGCTATTAGTTGGCATCACCACGTATTTTGCCAACAATTAGTATCACGTATTTCACAGGTAAGAAGATCGAGTGCAGAATTGCCTAGCACCTGCATTGTAATTAGATTAATAAGTTACATAGATGCTCGCGTGTGGTATTTAGATTTCCAATGTAATATTCTATAGATATAACTGGTATACTAGTACACATACATGAATGCAACAAAGCAAAAATGTATTTCTTACACCTCAATTGAATCTTTAATTTCAAAAACCCGTCAAACGCCAAAATCTAAAACGCGCATTAGTGACGGATTATTACTTTATATGAAAAATATTCATTTATCAACTGCTTTAATAAATAAACCTGTTTTGAAATCAGTTAATTGGGAGACTTTTTCTCAGTTTTCTCGAAGTAAGGAATTGGCGTTTGGCGGGCTTCTGAAATAAACGATTCAATTGAGGAATACATAAACTAGTTTTCGCTAACTCCATCTCTGAG